GTGAAAAAAAATGTATTTCAGGCAGCACAATTACACTACTTATAATAATATATGTATATATTTTGCAGTCCAGTGATTGGCTCATTTTTACACCCTTTTGGTTTGCTGAATCGTATTTCCCAAAATTGTTTGGCTGAACCACATTTTTCCACTGTGCACAAATCGAATCACCAGCTCTCTGTTAGTATAAGGGTCATTATGTTTTTTTGGTTCAAGTGGGTCCAGGCTCTGGAGTTTTGTTAACCTCCTCAAAAATAATTTGCCACAGAACACAGCAGCCTTCTAACACTATGACCACTACGTCATGGAGTAGTTTTAATGCTTTGATTGCCCTTCTAAGTTCTCCAGAAATATCACTGCCATGACTACTAAATTTCTTGCAATTACCCTGTTAACTTCACAGTTGCCCCCAGTAAAGAAAAGATCTAAGGGTCCATTCTCATCCCCAAACTATGCAAACAAAGCAGTCTGGAGTTCAGTGTCTTCTATGTCTACGTCAAGGTTTTTTTTTTGTAGTGCTCATGGTGGCTAAGAAAATATTTGCATGGGTGGGAGGTGGTTTATTAACTTTCTAAAGGGGGTTAGTCCTGTGGAAGACATAGAATAAGTTATTACTTTCCCGCCCTGTAAAGGAATCATGAATGGAATCGTTTACCCTGTGTTAAAGTTGAACCTCAAGTTTCCAAACATTCGCCTACTGTGCTTTATGCAGAGTGCTTTAATGATGATACTACCACTCCTGAATGTGGTTATAGACAGTAACTGAAAAGTACTAACTGAATAAACTACAAAGTATCTCTCATTACAGTAAGGTGAATGTAAAATGCGTCGGTGCAAAGGTAGTGCTTTAAAATAACGAATGCCAAGCTCTCTGAAAAGGTTAGTGTCTTGTTTAATATGTTATAAATATTCATGGTTCTCACTGTTGGAAGTCATCTTTTAGAGACATCAAAATCTGCACAAAGAAATGTATTACATCTAAAACAAGGCTTTCTTTTAGATTTATTTTTGTACATGACATTTGCACCCTGGCCACTTCTTTTCTTACATCCACTAAAGAAAGAAAATCAAAAAAGTGAGGAACAAAATCAAATTTTCATGATCATGATCATGTAGGCTCCGTTAGAGAGGAAAGCCCCGAACATCTTCAGACGTAAGGAAATAGCACTTATTTATAAAAGCTTTCTCTCATCGTCACTTTATCTGTGATTCGGCTTTAATCAAATCTTTTATTTCTTAGCTGCCTGACAAACAAGATGGCTACATTCCAAATGTTCTCTCGGTTCAGCAGAATCTTTGTTTCCATTCTGCGGTAGATAAATGTATTTTGCGAGTATTGTGGAACCTAGGTCTGAATTTCTGTAGAAGCATAGACAACCTTCAAGCTGATTATCCCGCACTGTTAATTTGCAGGGATATTTAAATGAGATTTAAATTGTATTAGTCTTCTCGCATGGTAATTTGATTTTATAGTTGTTTTTCATCCTCCCTTTCCCATTGAGGTTCTTATCTGCCTCTTGACAGCACTTGGGAATTTTACACTTTATGCAACCCAATCCCCTGAAACATTTACACTGCCAATCTCCTCCAGAACGTAATTCAATAGAGTTCTGCTAATTTAAAATAAAAGAGCATTGTTTGTGGAAGGCAAAATGTGCATCGTGAATTAAAAATAGAACACCTGACACCTGGAATTATGATGTTAATGAACAGTTTGTCAGTGGGATAATAATAATGAACAGTTTGTCAGTGGGATAATAATAAATAAATCACATGAAAAGCTTATAAAAGAAATGTTTAGTTGCTTTGTCATGCAAAACAGAATTTGAAAGAATATCATAAAAATAATTCAACAAAATTCTCATGCATTGTATTTATCCTTCAGTACACTGCTTGATTCTTCGTAGAACTTTATTAAAGTACAGATAAAATAAGAATAAATTTAGACAGTCACCATCGCAGACCTCAAGGGTTCTAGGAATATCATTCCATTACACCCACCTGAATACATGCTGCTGTAACATGGCCATGATTTAGATTTGCTCTGTTACTTCTGAGTATTTCAATATTTTATGAAATACTTATATTGACTGCATTGGAAATTCACTGAACTTTGAGCAAATGCAAAGTTTGCAAACGGCAAAGCTTCTAAAGTCAACGTTTGTCAGTCACAGGGAAACCTGTGAGGAAAGGCACCTTCTAGTCTAGTGCATCATGTGAGACGTCCTATGGAGTATTCTGCAGTCTCATGGGATCTTAAAGGGTTTCACCCACCCTTTTCTTTTTTTTTTACAGTTAATACAATGTAATATTTGTCATTATTCTATATGCCCCCTAATGCTCAAAGAGTGTTTTAAACTAAAGTTTAACGCACCTTAATTCAGAGCTGGGTGGAGCTCCCCGGTGCTGTCCGGCACATCCCCGTCTAAATTTTACAGGAGCCACACTGAGGTCCAATCAAAGGCTTCTCATAGAGAAGGCATGCTCCCTGAACTGGCAAATGAAGGGGGAGTGGGACAAAGGGAGGGAAATTAGGCAGAGGGAAGGGCAATTAAAAAATAACAGACGTGAGTGAGAGGAGGGAGGGAGGCAAGAAATTAGCTTCTCAGAGCCTGCAAGAAAGAAGCAGTTACATCTGTTGGCAGTATGCAGTGCACACTGACGACAAATGTAATTCATGCACAGAATTTACATTAGGTAACCTGGAGCAGAGTTCTAGGCTGCCTAAGTCATGCGTGCTGGGATGCAACTTGCCCTTAGCACACAATTAAAAATATCACAATGACCACTTCTAAAAGCAGCAGTGGCCATGGTGGGTGGATTAAACCTTTAATTCTGTGTTGTATTCTTTGGTTTATTCAATATTACAACAGTGACTAGAAACCCTAGCAGATGACACCAAGAGCTGAAGTTAGCTCCAGTTAGCTTCAAGCCCTTTGCCTGGCTGACACACACCAATCAATCATTCTGTTCTCAGATTTTTGTCTGAAGGGTTAAGTATGAGCTGTGCTTTGTTTCTTTTCAAAATTTTGCCTTCTTCCATTTGCATTGCATGTAAGTTGCAAATACAATGGAAACCCGTAATGCCGTACATGCATGTCACAATCACAAACAGTTTAATTTTAAAAATTAAAAAAATGCAGTGTTTACATTGCCCCCTAGGGACGGGCAATTAAGTGACCACTCCTCAGGTGGTCACTGGAGGTGCTTCCTGTGGAAGTGCTGTACAGTGTGCAGCACTGCCCGATCAGCGTCTCCATGCTCTGTATGGAGACGCTGAACTTTTCTTATAAAGATACATTGATTCAATGCATCTCTATGAGGAGGTGCTGATTGGTCAGACCCCGTTCCACCTACTTGCCAATTTTAGCCAATCCAATGCTTTACCTATGACCTCTTCATCAGCATGCATCACTTGACAATTATTTTTGCCCTCTTTAAATAAGTAAACAAACTCATCTTATTCCGGTGCCGCTCGGATCTGCCAATGCTGGCCGAGCCTCCGATCTGCTAAGCTTCCCCTCTAGCAGTCCATAGGCATCAATGTAACTGAACACTGAAATCAGGCAGTGTTTACTTTAGAATGCCTGCAGGGACTGAGTATACTCAGCAGAACAACTACATTAAGCTGTAGTTGTTCTGGTGACTATATGTCTCTATAATTTCCTTCATCATACTAATGCTACACATTACAAGGAATCACTTTCAATTGCAGCCTTATCCTCTATGACTTAGAGTTACTCCAATAATCATAACCCCTACAGCCCACTTTAGTAATTATGATGACAGGAGTATCCTGGCCTGGTTCCTCAGTAATGAGGCAAAGCTTTAGCAACTTTTAGAACCTGGGTTCCTCACGGACTCCAATGCTCCTTTCCCCTCTAGTGACATGCTTCCGGTTTCTTCCGATCCAGTTGCTACTCAGCAGACTGCTCGCATCCAATAAATGTCTCACTGTTCATGAAAATCTGCACAGAATTGACATTGGTCAGATTGGCATTCTTAATTAGTTACGCTGCTGGAGGTGGAGTTAAACCTCTGAAAGAAGAGGGGGTCATACTGAAAAGCTGCACATATACACTCCAGGCACCATGACCACTTCATATCAGTTGAGTGGTGTTTATATTAACCCTTTACACCTAACAGAACTCTCCAAGCACCATAACCCCTGGCTTCCCACAGTAAATTGTCAGGGCATAGCGCAGAGTGTTTCCAGAACTAGTGAACACAGGCAGCAGTGCCCAAAAGACCCGGAGTAAGAATTGAAACTGGAGGCAACTGAGCACTTCTTGTACTATAACCACTACTGTAAGCTGTCATGCTTGAAGTGCATGCTCCTTTAATGCATGAATATGTACAGACCACATACTGTGAACCTCTCAATAAAAATAGCAATGTTCTATGTATGACTGCTTGCTTAACTTTTGTAGTATATGCACATCAATTTAAAAAGAAACATTTAATTTATATAAAATATGTATAGAAAATAAAATAACTAAAACATTGCCTGAGTATTTCAAGTGCTAATTGTCTGGAACTCTAAATTAATATTTTTTTACCCCAAAAATGTCAAATTGGAAAAATCACACAAGTAAGCCAAGTTTTAATTCTAGCTATTTTTGAATTGCCTCTAAACTCCTGAAAAAGTATCACTTTATTAATAAAATAAAATAAATATTTTTTTTTTTTTTTTTAATTTTTTTTTTAAAGAGTCTCCAGAAACTCCCTGCCACTAAACCTGTCCTGAATGACATGCTTGCAATAATCAGCACGTGACCACAGGGAAGGTGTGCCACAGTGTAATGTCACCATTCCATTACGTCACCAGCCTACTTATCAACCCGCAAGAACATCAGCAGACCTTGCCTTCGCTCAGAGTGCTAAACACTAGAGTTGCACCACGCACCTTTTTTTTTTTTTTTTTTTAAACTGTCTGCTGCGCGGTGTTCGGAGTCATGCCGCCATGTTTCCGGAGACCAGGATTTTATGCCGCAAAAGTTGGTAGATAGACCACTTTCAGGATCGCGAACTTATGACGTTTCACCGTCTCCTGTTAATGACGTCGATGTTTCAGTCGGAAGTGGTTGTGAGTAGGTAGCAATGGCAGAGCTGGATATTGGACAGCATTGTGGGGTTGAACACTGTGGCCAGCTAGGTAATGTGTACATTTTAGTGTTAGTTTGTTTTCTCGCATTATTAATTTTATTATTGGTGTGTAAAGACCAAGTGATATCCCTGTGCTTGTTATTGGTTTATAATTCTTATTTTATAGCTTTGTGAGAAGAACATCAATGTCAGTATTATTTTTTTGTTGCTATTATTAATATGTTGGTAACTGTTTAACTCATCTCAATAAAGAAATATAGCAAGATTTAAAATAGATATACTGCATTTGGTTATTACACAGTAATTTTGTTTATTTTTTTTCAGACTTTCTCCCATTTGTTTGTGATTCCTGTTCCAAAGTGTTTTGGTAAGATAATAAGCTGGTTTAAATCTCAAACAACTTTTGAGCATTTGATGTATACTTAACACCTTGGTTATGTTAGGACGTACAATAAGTAGAGCTGGGTGTATGGTTCTATGTGTCCATTTTATTAATATTATTATTACTGGTATTTATATAGCGCTTTACAATTATCAAAGGGGGAGATTTAACAATAAATGAGACAATTACAAAAACTTACAAGAACAATAGGTTGAAGACGGCCCTGCTCAAACGAGCTTCCAGTCTATAGGAGGTGGGGTGTAAAACCCAACAGGACAGGAGGTAGCAATCAGATTGATACCGGAGAAACTGACGGAAGCAAAGCACAGAGGGATGGACACAGGTTTCTTCAGGAAGGAAGAGATTCTTTATTGGATCACCGATCGGGACTCAGAGGGACTAATGTCACCAAAAATACAGCAAGTTCTGAGCCCTGAACAATAGTGCAGGCTCCCTATATAGGCACATAACTCCTCCCATATTAAGCTCCACCCGCACATTCTCTTGACCAATCATTACAAATAAGAATTAACTTCCTGCTTGACCACATGGCTTGTCCAGCACAATGGAGGAGGGGAATACTACATCCTGTATTCTTGCACATGCTCCGTACACTACTGATCGTATCTTGCCTCGTGCAACCAACTGATCGATACGTCAGCATATGCACGTACACATGCCACGTGGTAATCTCGGCCTACTAAATTTATTTTTACCGAGATTCCACCACATTCCCCCCTTTGATGCCTCTTGATATTTTACAATTACTTGAGGCATCACTTAACCTTGGTTTGCATACACCACAAGTTACCTTTGAACCAGACCAGACTTATCCTATGATGTGAATCTTCAACACTCATCTTCCTGCATTAGTTCTCCCTGATCTAGAGCCTTATATTTATAAATTGCCATTATCTGTGCAGCAGCCTTCCTCTCTGCTATATTTTCTATCAGGCTTTGCACAGACCTAACTACTAAGGGTATAAGACACGGCAGGAGTAGACACAACATTAAAATCAGTAGGACTCCACCTACCACTGCCTTAAGCCCTCCAAACCACTCATACCAGCTACCAAACCAACTACTTGGATTGTACCCTTTCCATACCTGAGTAGGCACATGCGCTAGTTTAACCATATGGCTAGTAAGCTCAGCTATTGCTTGCCCTTCGTCATCTATTTGAAGACAGCAATTGCTCAGGTTAAACTTCCCACATACACCTCCCTCTACTGCCAAAAGATAATCCAAGGCTAATCTATTTTGGTAAACTGCTGTCCTCATCCTGGTATTATGCTTCGCTAGAAGATTGAGCGCTTGTGATGTCTCGTTAGTAATGATCTCAACCACCGCCTGTAACCTTATAATGCGGTTGAGCATATAAATAGGGGTTCTATAACCAAAGGTACCATCCTCTGCCCACGTGGCTGGCCCATAATAATCTATAATACGCTGGGGAGGCCATTCATTATCTTCCCAGGCACCTATCTCTATGGGTCCCCTTTTCTTCCTATGATTCACATCATACACTTTAACACCTAAAGTCTCACCTGTTTCAATAGGCAACAAGAAGAAGGATGGTTTTAACATACCCAACACACATGCCCCTTCCCAGTCCTGTGGTAACTCCGAATAGGCCTTCTTACCACAGATCCAGTACAAATTCGCTGGGGCTCTCCAGTTAGATGTGATGGATAGATCAAACCATACGCCCTTTAAATTGGCATATCTTGCAAACGGGTTAGATGGTTCTGAGACATTTGAAGCCGACCACCAAGTTGTATTCTTTGTATCATCATCATAAGCTTTTTGCCCTAGACAAGTTAATTCTCCTACAGAAGTATTATACATCATTCCTTTCCTCGCTATGCAAACATAACCTATGATGGAGGTCTTCAATCTCCACTCAGATTTACCTCTAACACTCATATGATAGTCGGCTTGTGTAGATATTAATTGGTCAACTGCCTCAGAACCGGACATTACCTCCTTTGCTTCCCAAGGCCATTGGTCTCCCATGTTAGTACCTCCACACACATAGCAGTTGGTAACATTAAGACTACCGGCAATACTCTCGGCTAAATCAATGAACAAGTTTTTAGCATTATGGGGGATCTTATTATCTATGCTCATCTCTTCATAAAAGGAATGGTATACTTGATGAGTTTGGGAGGTTACCGTATCAGTCTCTATCCCTATAAACAATATTGTCCCAGGGTCTAAACCCGTCCCATATATTTGAAACCCAAATAAATTACCATATTTATCTAAGAACTTGTCAGGGTTATTTATAAGTATATGGATTGGATTGCATTCCATAGACTTACAATATGGATCAATAGGCAACTTAGTCACAATCATGTCCTTGTCTACTGTCTGTCCCCAAGTCGCCCACCCCACACAAGACCAATATGGGCAGAAGTTATAATCTCTATTTGGACATCTTGGACTTACATATCTATTTTTACTACTGGGACAAATATATTTATCGTTAGACCCATACGTCCTCTCCCATCTAAGATCCCCACATACATTCCACGGCTTTCTACCACTTGATATTGCTTTACACGCATCAAATAGCAGAGCACCTGAAGAATATACGGATTCTAATACCGTCTTATTAATTAGGGTCCCCTGAGGATCTCCATTTCTGAGAGTCAACCAAATTGTACGGGGTTGATACTCAGGACTGAAGCACTTAGGTTCTCCTACTCCTAAATGACACACACTATATTCTATATTTAAGTATCTACATCTTGATACATCTCCTTTACACTCATATTGCGAATGCCAAATTAGGGTCTGGGATATATGGTTACCTGTTCTTGTAGTCTTAATGCATACCTCACAGCTAGGAGTGTTGGTACCTCTACCTTCCTGAATATAAAAATACACATAAATAAACATTATTAAAAATACATCTTTCGTCGTCATCCTCAGTCTTCGTCCGTGCGAAGGCACCTCAGCTTCCAGGATGTAAGGGCTGCAGGGAATGGAGTTCTGCTCGTCTTCACAGGGGTCCCCTCAAGACTTTCCCTGACTTATACACTCGTTGGTGAGTGGACAGGCTTTATTATGGCCTTCTCACTCACTTACCAAGTCTCTGAAACAATAAAATTTGTAATCTACAAGGTTCCTCGTCACTCCGACTGAGTCGTGCGTTTTAACCGGATCTTGCAGGGATTCTCTGGATTTGCTGTAACTTGCCAGGAATCGGCTGCTGCTGGTTTAACCCTGGAGTGATGTATCCACGGAGCCACTTCGGCTACTTTTATCGCTGTAGGGGTAGACAGAAGAACAACATAAGGACCTCTCCACTTGGGCCCTAACGGCACATTATTCCACTCTTTAATCCACACTTGGTCGCCTGGGTGGTAACTATGAATTGGGGGATAAATATTCACAGGTAATCTATCTTGTACCCATTTCTGTACCTCCTCCATAGTCTTACCCAACTCTACAACCTGCTGCCGGGTAATTCCTTCTCCCAACTGACTCAAATCCCCCCTTAAGTTACCAAGCACGGGAGGTGGTCGCCCGTACATGATTTCAAAAGGAGAGAGGCCCATCCTTCTGGTAGGTGTACTACGGATTCGCAATAGAGCTATGGGCAAGAGAACGTTCCACTTAAGTTGGGTTTCCTGACACATTTTAGCCAACTGATTCTTAATAGTTCTATTCATTCTCTCTACCTTACCAGAACTCTGGGGTCTATATGCCGTATGAAGCCTCCACTTTATACCAAGCATATGAGTCAATTGTTGTAGGCACTGATGAACAAAAGCTGGACCATTGTCCGATCCTATAGAGCAGGGTAGTCCATATCGGGTATTATTTCTCGTAGCAGGAATCTCACGACTTCTCCTGCTTTCTCTGTACGAGTAGGACATGCTTCTACCCAGCCTGAATAGGTGCACACCACTACCAGCAGGTAGCGATGTCCACCCGATTTAGGCATCACTGTATAGTCAATTTGTAAATCGGACATGGGAAGTCCCCCCATAAACTGGACTCCTGGTGGCTTTACTGGTCCTTGTCTTGCATTATTTTTAGCACACGCTACACATCTACGTACAATGGCCTGAGTCAAGTTGGACAATCTTGGTATGTAGAAATGTTTTCTGAGAGATTCTTCTGTACTGTCTCTCCCAGAATGTGTCCCGTTATGATAGTTTTGGACAATTTCTACCGCTAGTGATGCTGGAATAACTATTCTTCCATCTTCTAACTGATACCATTTGTTCTCCAAATACTTTCCAGGTTCAGTCCTTAACCACTCCTCTTCCTGAGCTGTATAAATTGGAGTCCATTGAGACAGTGGAGCTGGTATAAGAGCAGCTATATGCCCCACATATTCCTGTCTTCCTGATTCAGCAGCACGCTTAGCTGCACTATCTGCCATCCGATTCCCTTTGGTTACATCACCATCTCCTCTCAGATGCTCCCGACAATGTATAATACCGACTTCTTTCGGCTCCCACACTGCTTCCAATAGTTGTAGGATCTCAGCTGCGTATTTGATTTCTTTGCCTTCTGAATTCAATAGTCCTCTTTCTTTATACAAAGCTCCGTGGGCATGAGTGGTTAAAAACGCATACTTGGAGTCCGTGTAGATGTTCACTCTTAAACCTTCAGCCAATTGTAACGCTCGTGTCAGTGCTATCAATTCTGCCTTTTGTGCTGATGTTCCTTTTGCCAGTGGCCAAGCTTCTATCACCTTGTCTATCGTTGTTACTGCATATCCTGCATAGCGGATCCCTTCTTTTACATAACTACTGCCGTCGGTGTAATATTGAACATCAGGGTTCTGGATGGGAAAATCACGAAGATCTGGTCTACTTGAAAATACTTCATCCATTACTTCCAAACAATCATGTTGACTTTCAGTAGGTTGTGGCAAAAGGGTAGCTGGATTTAAGGTATTTACAATCTCTAAATGCACTCTTGGGTTTTCACACAACATTGCTTGATACTTGGTCATACGGCTGTTACTAAACCAATGATTTCCTTTGTAATCCAACAACGTCTGTACTGCATGTGGAACTCGTACATAAAGTTCTTGACCCAGAGTGAGTTTATCGGCTT